GAGAGGAGAGGAGGGGAGCAGGGATGAAAGGAGAAGAGAAACAGAAGAGGAGAGGAGAGGAGAGGAGAGGAGAGGAGAGGGAGGAGAGGAGAGGAGGAGGGAGAGAGAGAGAGACGACGTGGAGCCGCACCCCTGGATGAGGAGAAGGGGAGAGGAGAGGGAGAGGAGAGGAGAGGAGAGGAGAGGACGAGGAGACGGAAGAGGAGAGGACGAGGAGAGGAGAGGAGAAGAGAAGAGGAAGAGAGAGAAGAAGAGAAGAGAAGAGAAGAGAAGAGCAAGAGGAAGAGAAGAGAAGAGAAGAGAAAGAGAAGAGAGAGAGGAAGAGGAGAGGAGAGGAGAGGAGAGGAGAGGAGAGGAGAGGAGAGGAGAGGAGAGGAGAGGAGAGGAGAGGAGGAGAGGAGAGGAGAGGAGAGGAGAGGAGAGGAGAGGAAAGGAAAGGAAAGGAAAGGAAAGGAAAGGAAAGGAAAGGAAAGGAAAGGAAAGGAAAGGAAAGGAAAGGAAAGGAAAGGAAAGGAAAGGAAAGGAAAGGAAAGGAAAGGAAATAAAAGGAAAGGAAAGGAAAGGAAAGGAAAGGAGAGGAGCAGGGACGAGAGGCGAGGAGAGGAAAAGAAAGCAAATGTAGAGACGTAAGCGCCGACAAGAAGAAATCCAGAGGACTGCTGACTAGCCTATGGCTCTATAACACCCACCACCAGCCGTCTAAATGAGTATTTAATCTGGTTGACCACAATGACCACAGAGCCATAGTGGGGCAGTGGGAATGACCATTGACCACACTGAAAGGATCATTCAATTAGGGTTGTATCCTTCATTGGACCATTCCTCCCCAGCAGGACACCCTATACCCTACATAGTCCCTACATAGTGCACAACTTCCCTATGGGCCCTGGTCAAAAATTGTGCAAAAAATTGGGAATAGAGTGCATTTGGGACACCGTCACTGTCTCTGACCAGGTCAGTAGCAGCACTGCTGGTTGGGAGTCTGTAGGTCTGTAGCTGTGATTTTATTTGATATGTGTCATACCACAAAGATTACGTAAACTACAGACAACAAGGGAAAACAAGGCAAGAGTAAAAATGTCGTCCCCCACGCATAATTCACCCAAGTTGCAAAAAAATCAGGCCAGTGCTGTCTGAGATACCGCGTGTGACTAACGTACGAACGGACGTGCCTCATCCATCTATAAATCACTGCTAGGCAAATCCCTGCCTTATCTTAGCTCATTGGTCACTATAGCAACACCCACCCGTAGTATGCGCTCCAGCAGGTATATCTCACTGGTCATCCCCAAAGCCAACACCTCCTTTGGCCGCCATTCCTTCCAGTTCTCTGCTGCCAATGACTGGAACGAATTGCAAAAATCTCTGAAGCTGGAGACTCTTATCTCCCTCACTAACTTTAAGCATCAGTTGTCAGAGCACCTTACCGATCACTGCACATGTACACAGCCCATCTGAAATTCGTCCACCCAACTACCTCATCCCCATATTGTTATTTATTTTGCTCATTTGCACCCCAGTATCTCTATTTGCACATCTATCATTCCAGTGTTAATACTAATTGTAATTATTTTGCACTATAGCCTATTTATTACCTTACCTCCATAACTTGCTACATTTGCACATACTGTATATATATTTTCTGTTGTATTTTTGACTTTATGTTTTGTTTTACCCCATATGTAACTCTGTGTTGTTGTTTTTATCGCACTGCTTTGCTTTATCTTGGCCAGGTCGCAGTTGTAAATGAGAACTTGTTCTCAACTGGCTTACCTGGTTAAATAAAGGTGAAATAAAAAAATAAAAAATAAAAATCCATGTCGTTTAGGAACATGCAGGCTGGGTTTAGTCCTGTAATCACCCTACATCCTGGCATTTAGATTTGATTCAATTACACAACTTAAAGTTCAAGAGAGAATAACTTCAGATAAGCACGCCAGTCGCAACTGACGTTCACATAAATATTTTGTTGATGTAATTGGGAGACTTTAGTGGAAATTCAAATCACGAGCACCAAATATCTAAAGTTAGGATTTGTCCCGAAATTCCTACAGCAAAAGGGGTTTTACAAGAATCTATTTACCACTCTGATAGGGTTGTTTTTTAAACTAGTATCCTAGGACGATGTCACAAAAAGACACAATATATAATCTTGCCAGTAAATGTGGAACCAACAACTATTTATTTACGTACACGGTAATGTAATAGTGTTGTTGCAGCTACTTTGTACATGGAGAGAAAAAAAGAGTCTCAGAAGTTACTGCCATGGTATGGCAGACTCTTACAGCACCGACCCCAATATTGACAGTAAATACATGAAGACAGAGTGCCCTCGTGGGCCTGGCCATTCCAGGAACAGGACTGTCTGTCCCAACCCCTTACAGCAAAGAAAGTGGCAAGGCTCATGATCGGTAATGGTATTATTAAAAACACTACATATAATATAATGTATACCGGAGTAAAATCTAATATATGTGTGTGTATGTATGTACACTAAATGATCAAAAGTATGTGGACACCTGCTTGTCTAACAGCACTTACAGTTGACCGGGCAGCTCTAGCAGAGCTCTTCCGTAAGGCCATTCTACTGCCAATGTTTGTCTATGGAGATTGCATGGCTGTGTGCTCGAATTTACACACCTGTCAGAAACGGGTGTGGCTGAAATAGCCAACTCCACTAATTTGAATCGGTGTCCACATAGTTTTGTATATAAAGTGTGTGTATGTACACTACCGGTCAAACGTTTTAGAACACCTACTCATTCAAGGGGTTTTCTTTATTTTTACTATTTTCTACATTGTAGAATAATAGTGAAGACATCAAAACTATGAAATAACACATATGGAATCATGTAGTAACCAAAAAAGTGTTAAACATGTTTTATATTTGAGATTCTTCAAATAGCCACCCTTTGCCTTGATGACAGCTTTACACACTCTTGGCATTATCCTTTATACTCTCCCGTCTTGTATGTAAATACCGTTGGTAGCTCTGTTACCGTGTACGTCTTCATGTATTTACTGTCACTATTGGGATCAGTGCTGTAAGAGTCTGCCATACCATGGAAGTTATTTCTGAGAAGAAAGCAGACAAAAACTCAGATTCTGAGAAAGAAAATGTTCTTTGCGAGCAAAAATTGTGTCATGGTCACTTGAGGAAAAAGTTCAAACAACTTTTAAAAAGATGTCTCAGATGACTCTATAATCGATATGTCTTGTTAGGGATGTCTGCTCCAGTTTCTGTTGAGGGATTATTTTTATCGGTCATGCTATTTTAGTATCAATGTGAGATAAGTTCCAGGGACATGTGTGTTCTATTTGGTTCTTTAATTGAATTAAGAATATAGGGTGGTGATGGCATGCGCCTCATGGGTCGTGACCCAAATGGCACCCTATTCCGTATTTAGTACACTAGTTTTGACCAGGGCCTTGGTCAAAAGTAGTGCACGATATAGGGAAGACGGTGTCATTTGCGATGCAGCTTTCCCGGACATTTTATCTGATAAGGAAGAAATTCAGTTGTGACAATACATTTCAATTAAAAGGAGACATTTGAAAAGAGTGGAACCACTGTAGTACAATGACCCTAACCGTTGCAATTATGACTTTTATAGATACTATTGAAATATCATGTTTTGGAGTTTGGTTTGCAGATGTTGTTGATGGGAGGATAAATGGCAAGTTTTTCTCTTAGGAAACTGTTGTTTAGCCAAGGCCCCTCATTTGGCATTTTAAACATTTTGTCTCTTACCCAAAAACAACATTCACTTCTGCCAAACCATGACTATGAGCTATAATATAAATCCTCACAATAAATATTACAGTAAACCTATCATCACAGTCAAAAACAAAGCCTAGGACAGGCTAGGTTGCTGTTTCACAGAACTTAAACAACAACTTAGAGAATGCCTCCATTCCATGTTGGAACTGGAGGCATTCCAACCATGGTTCCAAAGAACAACAACTATCCTTATAGCTATACACTATACAGTATCTGTCAAAATGCTAAACACTGCTAACATTTTATAGGTCCCTTGGTCGTGAAACGTGATCCAATAGTAGTGAAGGACCCCAGTTGCAAGACAGCGCGAGTCAGCGAGCCTATGATTTACACATAGTTTATGAAGCATTTAAAAAGACAGAGGGACCCTAATAAAAATGGGTTTATTTATGGTAGATTGTGAACATATGGCCTTTTGTGAGAAGGCATTCTTACCCTGAGGTGCAAAGTGTATTACATTTTTACATTTTTAGTAATTTAGCAGACGCTCTTATCCAGAGCGACTTACAGTTAGTGAGTGTATACATTATTTTATTTTTCATACTGGCCCCCCGTGGGAATCGAACTCACAACCCTGGCGTTGCAAACACCATGCTCAACTGAGCTACATCCCTGCCGGCCATTCCCTCCCCTACCCTGGACGAGTATGTAGGAGTGTGTGTGTGTGTCATACTCTATGTGTAACCCAAATCATAATCAATGATCAGCACTAGGTAGTACAGCTCAAGAAAGGGACTAGGCAACATTCACCCACAACCAGGCAGAACATACTTTATATATTTGACCCAACAATATTGTAGACAGCACTACGGAGCAAAATCAAATATCAAAACCAAAACACATTGATCCAATTATATTTCCTCTCAAATGACAATACCAAGAAGTAATGGATGATGCTCCGGTCTAGTTTTCTTTGATGTTCAAATCGATAAAATTGATAAAATCTAATTGTATTCATCACATACATATCAGTACTGTATGCATCATGTGTCTCATAGTAGGAGTGCTGATTTAGGATCAGTTTTGCCTTTTGACAACAATGAATACAATTACATTGGAAGGGGGGGACCTGATACTAGATCAGCTCTCCTACTCTGATACATATGGCCCCAGAGGGAAGGAAGTGAAACATCTTTGAAATACTGAATATTGTTATTATCTTGACCAATAGGTGGCAGAGTTCAACACTACATTCAGATAAAGAGCGCGTTACTTACTTGCAGTCTCTGTCCTCCAGATCAAAATGAGGGTTAAAGTTAATGAGTATCTTCTGTCCCGGGTCTGGGGCCGATATCACCCACATACATTGTTGTGATGGAGGGTATGAATTCGGATAGCCAGGAGAGGTGAGATAATCTGCACTGGTTATCTCAATGTTATCTCCACATTTATCTGCAAACAAAAACAGATAGAGAGAATTATTCGACAGGGAAATTACACATACATTTTTTAAAAATACAAAATAAAAACAGTAGGGTGATGTGTAGGCCTATAGGCTCCCCTCTAAAAAAACGATGTGTGATCATTCATAAAAAATATTGATAACCCTCAGTCGATCCTAAATGGAAATAATTAACCAGCGGAAGATGTTAAAACACACATTTACCAGTGTGCTTGTTTCAAAACTAGTAGTGAAGCATGTAATACGAATCAGGCTACTTTGTCATTTTCATATGCTTATTTTTTACTACATGAATAGTAAATAACATATCAAATATGAAGAGATGCTCGCAAAAGAGCCCACACGTACCCACACAATAAACAATAAAGGACAACGAACACCTTCGCAAGAACGAAAGTAATTGATTAATGTATTCCCTCTCTCCGCTGTTGAGCGAACGACACCTTTAAATAAATAATCAACTCTCCCGTTTTGGATAGGCTGACTTCCAATTGATTTTGACTACAGAGCTACAGATGCGCCCAGCAAAACCCTGAGGCCTACTGTAGCCTAGATGCACCTCTGTAGACGATCCGAAAACAGGTGAGTTGTGATGACAAATCGTGCAAATTAAGGATTTTTTTTACAAGACTAATGTTAGGAAATATTATATTTCAAGAGTCCACACTTACAACTTTGAGTCAATGAAGCCACAAAGAGGAGTTGGGTTGAAAAGAACAGTATAAATCCACAATTCATCATTGTGCTGTAAAATACACACGTGTAAAAAGAAAATAAAGACTTGATATGTCCACCTTCTTATAGTGCGCAAAGCAAAATAACAAATGTCTCAGAAATGTCAAATTCTTCTGAGTGCTTCAGGTCGCAAGCAGCATCCTGTGTTATTATTCAACTACGGTTTCCTCTCTCTGAAAGTCGTGTTTCTCTCCCAGAATAAGAATTTGCCATTTCCCAGGAAAATTTTAATAATCCAAACGCAGAAAACAATTGTTGATTCAGAAAATCCAGTCGACTAAAGTGCCTCGACAGTTATCAATCGAAAACTGATATTTTTACTTTTAAAAATGTAACGAAAAAGTTCCAGAATTCAATAATATCTCATACACTCACTAACCCGTCTAAAATCAACCAAGGCATGAGTTAGCTACAAACACCTGCGTACTGAAGAGCGCGAGTGGGCTACCCAATTCCTATTCCTCTTGACTGCGTTCCGTTCCGTAAAGATTCGCCCCTTTTCCGAAGCGCGCTGACTGACCGACAGAGTAGAATGTCAGAGGAGTCATTCTCATTCGACTTGACGCCAACTGTGAAAGTAAGAGTGAGTGGTATTTCCACTCCCCAAATTCCAGCTCCAAGACGCGAACACGCACAGACTGATCACTATGAGACGAGTGGGCAGGAGCGAAAGACACCGGTGCGCACTCCTCCCGCTCGTGCACAGCACAGGGAGAGGGCTGAATTGGAAGGAAGGAACATAATGCACATTGCACACAAAGGCATTCATTTTGATAAGAAACCTAAGCTGTCGCAAATTAAAAAACAACAACTGATTAAAATATAACAATATAATAAAATAAAATAAAATAGTATTTGCCACATGCACCGAATACAACAGGTGAATACCTTACAGTGAAATGCTTACTTCCAAGCCCTTAACCAACAATGCAGTTAAAAAAAAAAAAGTGTTCAATAAAAAATAGATAAGTAAAAAAAAGAGCATCAGTAAAATAACAGTAGCGAGGCTATATACAGGGGATACAGGTACAGAGTCAATGTGTAGGGGCACAGGTTAGTCGAGGTAATTTAGGTAATATGTACATGTAGATAGAGTAATAGGGCGGCAGGTAGCTTAGTGGGTAAGAGCGTTGTGCCAGTAACCGAAACAATGCAAATAGCCATTTGATTAGCTGTTCTGGAGTCTTTTGGCTTGCGGGTAGAAGCTGTTAAGAAGCAGAGAGAACAGTCTATGACTAGGGTGGCTGGAGTCTTTGACAATTTTTAGGGCCTTCCTCTGACACCGCCTGGTATAGAGGTCCTGGATGGCAGGAAGCTTGGCCCCAGTGATGTACTTGGCTGTACACACTACCCTCTGTAGTGCCTTGCGGTCGGAGGCCAAGCAGTTGCCATACCAGGCAGTGATGCAACCAGTCAGCATTTGAGGACCCATGCCAAATCTTGAGGGGGAATAGTCTTTGTCGTGCCCTCTTCCCGACTGTCTTGGTGTGTTTGGACCATGATATATACTAGGGGGTGTCAGAGGAAGGCCCACAAAATTGTCAAAGACTCCAGTCACCCAAGTCATAAACTGTTCTCTCTGCTACCGCATGGCAAGCGGTACCGGAGCGCCAAGTCTAGTTCCAAAATGCTCCTTAACAGCTTCTACCCCCAAGCCATAAGACTGCTGAACAATTAATCAAATGGCCACCCGGACTATTTACATTGATCCCCCCCCCACACTGCAGCTACTCGCTTTTTATAATCTATGCATAGTCACTTTACCCCTACCTACATGTACAAATTACCTCGACTAACCTGTGCCCCCACACATTGACTCGGTACCGGTACCCCCTGTATATAGCCTCGTTATTGTTATTTTATTATGTTACGTTTAATTTTTTACTTTAGTTTATTTAGTAAATATTTTCTTAACTATTTCTTGAACTGTAGCTTCATTGTTGGTTAAGGGCTTGTAAGTAAGCATTTCACAGTAAGGTCTACACCTGTTGTATTCGGCGCATGTGACAAATAAAATGTGATTTGATTTGATTTGTGTGTGTGTGTGTACGGTGATAAATTATCTTACCTTGGGATTTCAAATGTATGACATTCCTATGTATTATAGTGAATCATGCACAACTTAAAGACACAAAATAATCCTAAACACGACCAAAGTAGCAGCAGTCATGAGTAGATGAAATGGTTATGCTGTAATTTGAACCCGCTGTTGTTTCACACAAGATGAATGGTAGCTGTAGACTACCATCAGACATGCACAGATAGGGCTCTACCTGTGCAGAGCACATGCCTTTTACCCTTCCAGTCTCCAAAGTGCCCTTTTGTTTTGGGTTAGAAAAATAAATATATATTCTGTATATATATTTATTTGTATACACTTCTTATCGTTTTTGTTCTGAACCTACTGCCTGCAAGTCGTCATTAAATTAGCTTTAAATGTGTAATTTAATTAGCCATTAAGATGTGACCATCTATTGCTTTTATGTAATTAAATAATCAAAGTCATAATTGCTCAACGAGTCTGTGACCGCAGTTTCCGATTTTTCTTTGTAGGGGTGCCCTTTAAAAAAAAAATTGAGCATCTGCCCCCCTAAAGGTCTGTGCACGGCCCTGACTGGGTATGCCGACTTCATGTGTGTGTGTGTGTGTTTGTGTGTGTGTGACTGAGAGTAGTAACGCAGAGAGAAAGAAAGAGAGAGATAGAGAGATTTACAGATAGAGAGAGAGAGAGATTTACAGAGCGAGAGAGAGAGATTTACAGAGCGAGAGAGAGACAGAGATTTACAGAGAGAAAGATTTAGAGAGAGAGAGAGAGATTTACAGAGAGAGAGAGAGAGAGAGAGATTTACAGAGGGAGAGAGAGATTTACATAGAGAGAGATAACAAATGAAATCAAATTGTATTTGTCACATGCGCCGAATACAACAGGTGAAATGCTTAATTACAAGCCCTTAACCAACAATGCAGTTTTAAGAAAAATAAGTGTTAAGTAAAAAATTGATAAGTAAAAATAAAAAAAGAAGAAAAATAGAAAAATAACAAATCATTAAAGAGCATCAGTAAAATAACAGTAGCGAGGCTATCTACGGGGGTACCGATACAGAGCCAATGTGTGGGGGCACAGGTTAGTCGAGGTAATTGAGGTAATATGTACATGTGGGTAGAGGTAAAGTGACTATGCATAGATAATAAACAGCGAGTAGCAGCAGTGTAAAAAGAAGGGGTGGAGGGACAATGCAAATAGTCTGGGTAGCCATTTGATTAGCTGTTCAGGAGTCTTTTGGCTTGGGGGTAGAAGCTGTTAAGAAGCCTTTTGGACCTAGACTTGGCGCTCCGGTACCGCTTGCCGTGCGGTAGCAGAGAGAACAGTCTATGACTAGGGTGGCTGGAGTCTTTGGCCTTCCTCTGACACCGCCTGGTATAGAGGTCCTGGATGGCAGGAAGCTTGACCCCAGTGATGTACTGGGCTGTAAGCACTACCCTCTGTAGTGCCTTGGGTACCAGGCGGTGATGCAACCAGTCAGGATGCTCTCGATGGTGCAACTGTATAACTTTTTGAGGATCTGAGGACCCATGCCAAATCTTTTCAGTCTCCTGAGGGGGAATAGGCTTTGTCGTGCCCTCTTCACGACTGTCTTTATCACGTTTTAGGAGAAGACCCAGATGCAGACAGTGTTGAAGTAACAAAAGTTTATTACAAAAACAGGGGGCAGGCAAATGACAGGTCAAGGGCAGGCAGAGGTCAGTAATCCAGGGTAGTGTGACAAGGTACAGAACGGCAGGCAGACTCAGGGTCAGGGCAGGCAGAATGGTCAAAACCGGGAAAACTAGAAAACAGGAACTTGTGAAAGACAGGAGCATGGGGAAAATCGCTGGTAGGCTTAACGAAACAAAATGAACTGGCAACAGACAAACAGAGAACACAGATATAAATACACTGGGGATAATGGGGAAGGTGGGCGACACCTGGAGGGGGGTGGAGACAATCACAAAGACAGGTGAAACAGATCAGGGTGCGACAGTCTTGGTGTGTTTAGACCATGATAGTTTGTTGGTGATGTGGACACCAAGGAACTTGAATCTCTCAACCTGCTCCACTACAGCCCTGTCGATGAGAATGGGGGTGTGCTCGGTCCTCCTTTTCTTGTAGTCCACAATCATCTCCTTTGTCTTGATCACGTTGAGGGAGAGGTTGTTATCCTGACACCAAGGGATGTATATGTGTGAGAAGAAGTTCACTATTGTAGCTAGCAAGCATAGCTCTAAAATAGCCAACCCCAACCCAGCCAACAGCAGAGCACTGAGAGAGAGAGCGAGAGAGAGCGAGAGAAAGACAGAAAGAGGGAGAGAGGGTTTCTTTCTCTGGGGAGAGTAGATCAAAGCCACGAGGGCCTCAATGGTGGCAGAACATCCTCAATATAAATGGCACCATTTATGTTTTAGGCCCCACTGATTTACAAAACACACACACACACACACAAACATATACACACACACGCAAACAAGACAGCTCGACTCCGTCCCCAACGTCATATTTAAACGGTAATTACACAATGTGTGTGTCCCAAATGGCACCATATTCACTATGTAATCCACTACTTTTGACCAGAGACCTATGGTCCCTGGTCAAATATAGTGGACTAGTTATATAGGGAATAGGGTGCCATTTGGGACACACATTAGCACACTGATAATGGGATGTTAAGGCTCTTGTGAGGGTTCTTCATAGTATTTCCACATGGTCAGTCATTGGGACACCTATGCCATTTCAAATGTGGTGCTGTAGTCAATCATCCTGATAATGTGGGTTGAACTATAGGATGAATACATTCACAATGTTGACGTGTTTGTGTGTGCATTTTTCAATGACTGCCAGGTAATAAGCCAGGAATGATGGAGGAGAGGAGCAGTTTCTGTAATTACATAGTAATATCACCATAATTACAGGTTGAGGGACAGTGATGCATTACACAGTTATGGTGGGACTTGAGGTAGAACGCCATCTT